ATTTGCCCGTCACCCAATCAGGTGTCTTTGAAAACGCTGCCATGTGTTACAGTTCTATATTCCTTTCCGGGTTCGTGGGTCGATCATGTTGAACCCTGACCCCGCCGATCTGCGTGAGGGGTGCCACCAGGTGTCAATTTGCCCCCCCCCAGAAATTCTGAGAACCCTTTTTGGCAGTGGTAAAAATGCCCGTTCTGGGCCTCCACCCCTCGCGCGGTCCATCAACAAGGAACAGCAAGCAGCAAGAAGTCAGCAAGGAACAGTAAGCAGCAAGAAGCAGAACTGTAACAGTGGAAACTGGAAGCTGCAACTGGTACAGGAAACTGCGAAGCTTCGTCCTACAGCCTGGTGGCCCCACAAGGGGGCCGGCGGATTTTCTGACTCTTGTTGATTCTTCCTCCAAAATCCGCCTGTAGAAGGACATACCCGATCGAATGGTAGCACGATGATTGCGCGTCACATGTTTTCTGCAAGGATGGTCTGGGTGTGGCGTTGTGCCCGGCCGGCGGCCGCTCGGATGTGTGGCAGGGGGGGGGGGGGGGCATAGTTACAAACAGCACGGCTAAAGTGGGTTGGGCACGGCGGGCGGACGAGGAGGAGGGCGGACGAGGATGGAGGGGCGGATATGGAGATGCGAAGGGGGAGGAATGAGAAAAGGAGGAGAAGAAGAGGGAGGGGAGAAGGGGGTGGAGGAGAGGCGAGGTGCAGGGTGGAGCAGGAGGGGCATGAGGGGGAGGAGGAGGAGAGGAGGAGTATGTGAAGAAGGAGGGGGAAGAGGGCCGGGATGAGGACTAGGGGAAGAGGGAAGGCAAGATGAAGCGGGAGGATGAGGAGCAGCAGCAGCAGGAAGAAGAGCCAGAGGGGCAAGAGGAGGAGCAGGGGGAGGGGTAAGATAAGACACGAGTGTGGGTCCGCTCCCTTCGTCTTGTCGCATGGATGCTGTGGCGGGCTGCGGCAGCAACAGTTGACACAAGTCATGCTGCTCTGACTGCGTGCGCGCACTGCGTGATAGGCAGAGGATGAGGAAGGGGGAGGGGGAGGGGGAACAGGTAAAAAAGAAAGGAACATGGAGGAGCACGGAGTGAGGAGAGCTGACAGGGAGGTGGCGGAGAGTGAGGATGAGGGGAAGGAGGAGGGCGAGTGGAGGAGGGGGAGGGAGCGGAAGAGCGAGCTGGAGAGTGAGGAGAAGGAGGTGAAGGGCCGCTCTTGGGCGAGCTTGGGGTCGTCTTGGGGCCATCCTGGGCCTCCCGTTGGGCTCTATTGGACGATCTTGGAGCCATCTTGAAATCTTTCCAAACCCTTCAGCACCGACACGTGGACACCATCATCGTCATCGGCGTGATCAGCATCGGTGCCGTCATTTGCCTTGCCGTCGTTATCGCCGTCATCGTCACCAACATCGCTACCATCATCATCGTGTCGGCCGTTGTCGACGTCGCCATGCTACCGCTGATACCGCGTCCGCCCGAGTCACCGACTCGCATTGAAGTGCCCGCACGTCAGCGCTGCCTACAAGACGCGCTGGAGAGTCCCCCGCGGTCACCGCCACTGCGGCCGCGACGGTCGCGTCAGACTAGCTGGCGGCTCTGCGCGCGAGCTTGCGCGCGCGAGCGCGGTCGCAGCGATGCGCCACCCAGCGCCAAACAGTCATCGCAATCGCCGCCGCATGGGCTTTCGCCAACCAAATTGCGGGTGGGTGGGTGGGACAAGTGCGCGACTCCTTTGTACAAAGGACTTTGGATGTACCACCCCTGGGGGTTAGCAATTTACATATGATTCTGCCGCACCTTTCATATTAAGTCGGAATTCGCACCATTCCAGCCCAGCCCGTGTCAACCCCTCTCATCTCTTGCAAAAAATACACCTAGTTTCACCGGTCATCCATGTCCAGAAACCTTTTGAACAAGTGGAACGACTTGCGAGGTATAAGAGGAGGTTTGGGGAGGGACGGAGGAGGAAGAGGGGGGACGCAGAACGGAGGAGAACAAGGAATGAGTCAGGAGGGAGGAGGGAACAGCAATGAGGCAGGAGTCACGAGAAAAGAGCTGGCAGCAACGCAAAAGAGCGGGGGGAACACGGAATGGGGGGTGGTAGTTTTTTGGGGGTCGGACGCAGGCATGACGGTGGGTGTGCTCTGTCGGGTGGGGGGAAGGACGTGGGACGTAAAGGCCTGAAGCGAAGCGAGAACGGGGGGCCGAACGTACGCGTGACGGTGGGTGTGCTCTGCTCTGTGGAGTGGGGGGATGGGGTGGGACAGAATTGTGAGGAGCAAGAGCAGAACCTCGGAGGGGGCGCGCGCGTGCATCCGTGGCCGCTCCGTGGCTCCAGCGCTTTCTGGCGCCACAGGTTCACAGCCGGGCGCTCGCTCCCGCGACGCACAGCCGCCGCGCAGCCGCCGGGCGTTTCCCGTGCGGCCGGCAACAGGCTCAGACCTCAAGCGCCCCTCGCCGTGGGGGAAACGGGCTCTGAGGGAAACGGGTCCTGAGGTCTTCGTCCGTTTTGGGATTGATTCTCGGGCCCCCCCACGGGCCCCAGGGCTGTCAGAAAACAACGCAGGATGAAGAAATGGTCTTGGGGGACGGCCCCAGGGTCCAGGGCGACCGCGTGGTTGTGTGGCCCGGTGGGTGTTTGTGTGGCCCGTTGCGTGTTTGCGTGGCCCGGTGCGCGGCCAGATGCGTGTTGCTGTGGCCCGCGACGGCCCGTCAGTTAAATGGAATATACGCAGCACCCCGCAATTGCGGATAAGAGTGAGGGGGCGGGCGCGGGCGACGCGGGCGTCGAGCCGGCAGACCTCGTGGCCCTCACCTTCCTTGTCGATGGCGCCCTCCTCCTCCTTCTCCTCCCCCTCCTCCTCCTGCTCCTCCTCCTCCTCCTCTTCCTCGTCCGCGTCATCGTCCTCATCGTCGTCGTCGTCGTCGCCCGCCTCCTCCTCCACTGCCTCCTCCTCCTCCTCCTCCCCCTCCTCCTCCTCCTCCTCCTCCTCGTCTTCCTTCCCCATCCCGATCCTCCCCCCTCCTCCTTTCCGTCGTCGTTGTCCTCCTCCTCCCCCTCCTCCTCCCTCCTTTCTCGTCGTCCCCCTCCGTCCCCCCCTCCTTTCCTCCTCGCCCTCGTCGTCGACCTCCTCTTCGTCCTCGTACTCGTCGTCGTCGTCGTCTTTCTCCTCTTGCTCCTCGCCCTGCTCCTCCTCCCCTCCTCCGCGGAGCGCGCGCGCGCGCCGGGGGGTTGGGTCGCGGGCTTGTTCAATGAACGTAGTTTTGGTCGCGGGTAGGTCGCGGGCTCTCCACCTCCACCTGGAAGGAATTCAAAAACAGCCCGCCGCAGGCGCCGAACATTTTGATTTGTACACTGAACGCGGTTTGGGTCGCGGGTGGGTCGCAGGTTCTCCACTTGGAACGAATGCAAAAGAAACCCGCCGCAGGCGCCGAAACTTTTGGGTGGGTCGCGGGATGGGTCGCGGGTGGGTCGCGGGTGGGTCGCGGTGGGCCGCGGGTGGGTCGCGGGTGGGTCACGGGTGGGTCGCGGGGTGGGTTGCGGGGCGGGTCGCGGGTGGGACGACGACAACAAACAACAAGCAGCAAACAACACACAACACACAACACACAACACACAACACACAACAAACAACAAACAACACACAACAGACACCAAACACCAAACAACACACAACGCACAGCACACAGCACACAGCACACAACAAACAACAAACAACAAACAACAAACACAACAACAACAGCAACAACAACAACAACCATGTTAAGGCTGTACGCTCTTACTTGCCCGCGAGTCATTCAACACGTATACCCTACACCCTCGATACCCGCCCTCTTCGTCTTCGATCACACCCCTTTCGGGGGGATTATTTCTCTTTGCTGGGGCCGGCGGGCTTAGACGTACGGGCAAACCGGAACGGGCGGACAATCCTTCGGGGGCGTACATCTCTCTGCCCGCCATTGGAATTGGCGCGGGCCCTGCAAGAGGAGGAGGGGAAGAACGAGGGAGAGTGGGAGGAAGGGGAGGGGGAAGGACGAAGGAAGAGGGAAGATACCACGTTGTGAAGGCGTCCTTGGCGCGTGCGTGGTTCCTGAGCGCCGAAACGCAATTCCAGAATAATTTGTGAGGACGTCGCACGCGAGAGCGCAGTCCTGAGTACATTGTGAGGAAATCTCAGGCGGAAGCGGGGGCCCTGACTAAGTTGCGAGGAAGTCTCAAGCGGGAGCGCCGTTCCTGAGCAATTGCACGGAAGTCTCAGGCGGGAGCGGGGGTCCTCACTAAATTGCGAGGAAGTCTCAGGCGGGAGCGCCGTTCCTGAGTCATTGCGCGGAAATGTCAGGCAGGAGCGGGGGTCCTGATTAAAATTCGAAGAAGTCTCAGGCGGGAGCGCCGTTCCCACGTAAATTGCACGGAAGTCTCAGGCGGGAGCGGGGGTCTTGATTACATTGCGAGGAAGTCTCAGACGGGAGCGCCTTTCCTGAGTAAATTGCGCGGCGGGAGCGGGGTCCTGAATAAAAATCGAGGAAGTCTCAGGCGGGAGCCGTTGTTGTTGTAGCCAGGGGGGCAGGGGCACAGTTTGAGCAGGAAGACTTTCCTTGAGAAAAAACAAGGTGCGAGCCCCGGGGGTGGCACTTCAATCGAAAAAAATCAATGTGCACCGGTGGGGGGGGATCAACAATAATTATTCTTCAAGAATGAGAGTTTAACAACAACAATAACAACAGCATCAACAACAACAACAGCAACAACAGCAACAACAACAACCATAATAATGATCCGCATCGCGGATTTCCACTTCAGCCACGCACCCAGGGACAGTGAATGACCGTTCGGTTCAGCCCCCTCACTCTGACGTTCCAGTAGTTCCCAGGTTTCCAGAATGTCCTGGATGTTCTACTGTTCCGCACGTGCTGTGGAACCGAGGGCCTCGAAATATTTTGGAAATCCTGGAACGTATCCTGAGCCAATCCTCTTATGAGTGTAGTATCGCCCTATTCCAGGCGAGGCCCATGGAGGTCAGGGTCGACGCCGTGGCCGTGGGGGGGCAGTCCATCCCACAGGACAAGGACGTGTTCCTGGCGCTGCGCGTGGGGGACGTGCAGAAGCAGACCAGGCTGTCCAGCTCCAGGGCGTACCGCTTTCCGGAGCCCAAGTGCCAGGACGGCAAGCTGTACGGCAGGGTGGAGATCCTGAAGCGGGTGGGGCACGCCAGCATCTCGCTGGACCTGGGCGGCGACGCCCAGGATGTCGTCGTGAGCTGCAGCGACCTGGAGATGCCCCAGCTGGCCTTCAAGGTCGAGGCCGTCGTCAGCCAGGCCTCCGAGGAGCAGGCGAAGGCCACCCGGGTGGAGCGCAAGCTGGAGCGGAAGAACTCCGCGGCCCGCTACATCGTCGAGCACAACCTGGAGGAGCTCCTGGCCACGAGCCTGCGCGAGGTGGTGCGGCAGCGGCCCGCGAACCCGCGCGAGTACATCTCCGGGCAGATCCTGCGCAGCAGCTCCACGCCGGCCCTGGCGCCCCTGCCGCCCGTGGCCACGCGGCCCGAGGCGCCCGCGGAGCCGTGCCCGATACTCCCCGAGGTGCCAGCCGCGGAGCTGCAGCGGCCCCGCTCGGCCCTGAAGCGGCCGGGCTCTGCCGCCAGCGGCTCGCGGGTGCGCCTGGAGCTCGGAGGAGGAAAGGGTGCCCGTATACACCCTCCCATGGGAGGCCCTCGTCGCCACAGCTGGATTCGCCCCGAAATCCTGGTCAGAACGCACCCCGGGAGAGGTCTGGGGAAGCAGCGGTATCCGTGCCTCTCGGTCTCCCCAGGAGCCGCTCCCCCTGCAGGGAGCGCAGGCGCCGCAGCAGAGCGCCGAGGCGGAAACTCCGCAGGCGCAGGGGCCGGTCGACAGCCCCTCCAGCCTCCCAGGCTTCAGCATGCAGGACATCGACGACTCCATGCTGAAGCAGCACACGGACCACTTCAAGGAGGAGAGGGGGAACGCGACGGAGGTGGCCGAGCTCTTGGACTTGAAGGCGAGGGGCAAGGCCGCACTCGCGGCGGCGCTCCCGCAGGAGGAGCCAGACACCCCCCCCGCTGATCAGGCCCCCACGGAAGAGGCTGCCCCCGCTGCTGCCGTGTTCGAGGCTGTCGCCGCACCTGTGCCCGCCGAGGAGGCTGCCACAGCCCCCACAGAAGGGGCTGCCCCCGCTGCCGCCGCCGTGGAGGCGGCTGCCCCCGCTGCCGCCGCCGTGGAGGCCGTCGCCGCACCTGTGCCCGCCGAGGAGGCTGCCACAGCCCCCACAGAGGAGGCTGCCCCCGCTGCCGCCGCCGTGGAGGCCGTCGTGACTCGTTGCGAAGAGGCCGCCCCGGCGCCGGTCGAGGAGGCTGCCACAGCCCCCACAGAAGAGGTTGCCCCCGCTGCCGCCGCCGTGGATGCCGTCGCCGTCCTGGCGCCTGTCGAGGAGGCTGCCGCAGCCCCCACTGAAGAGGCTGCCACCGCTGCCGCCGCCGTGGAGGCCGTCGCGACCCCGTGCGAAGAGGCCGCCCTGGCGCCCGCCGAGGAGGCTGCCGCAGCCCCCACAGAGGAGGCTGCCCCCGCTGCCGTCGCCGTGGAGGCCGTCGCGACCCCGTGCGAAGAGTCCTCCCCGGCGCCGGTCGAGGAGGCTGCCACAGCCCCCACAGAAGAGGTTGCCCCCGCTGCCGCCGCCGTGGAGGCCGTCGCCGCCCCGGCGCCCGCCGAGGAGGCTGCCGCAGCCCCCACAGAGGAGGCTGCCACCTCTGCCGCCGCCGTGGAGGCCGTCGCGACCCCGTGCGAAGAGGCCGCCCCGGTGCCCGCCGAGGAGACTGCCGCAGCCCCCACAGAGGAGGTTGCCCCCGCTGCCGTCGCCGTGGAGGCCGTCGCGACCCCGTGCGAAGAGTCCTCCCCGGCGCCAGTCGAGGAGGCTGCCGCAGCCCCCACAGAAGAGGCTGCCCCCGCTGCCGCCGCCGTGGATGCCGTCGCCGCCCCGGCGCCCGCCGAGGAGGCTGCCACAGCCCCCACAGAAGAGGCTGCTCCCGCTGACGCCGCCGTGGAGGCCGTCGCCGCACCAGCGCCGGTCGAGGAGGCTGCCGCAGCCCCCACAGAGGAGGCTGCCCCCGCTGCCGCCGCTGTGGAGGCCGTCGCCGCCCCGGCGCCCGCCGAGGAGGCTGCCGCAGCCCCCTTAGAAGAGGCTGCCCCCGCTGCCGCCGCCGTGGAGGACGTCGCGACTCGTTGCGAAGAGGCCGCCCCAGCTCCCGCCGAGGAGGCTGCCTGTGCTTGCAGCGGGGCGCCAGCCCTCCCTGCCAGTGAGGAAGCCGCCCCGACTGGTGCCGCAGAGCCAAGCGCTGCCGCAGAGGCAGCGACTGAGTTGGCCGCCCCAGCTGCCACCGACGAGGCTGCACCTGCCAAGCCAGCGCAGGCAGGGCCGGAGCTCGAGGTCGAGCTGCCCGAGGGCCAGAGCGCCGAGGTTCTCTCGTGGACGCTCGAGGAGGCGCTGAAGAGCGGGCTGGTGACGTGGGCAACCTCGGCGGAATAGGAAGGAGCCACACGCTTCAGGGCTCAAGGGACGGGGGTCAATGCAAACGGGGGTCAGTCAGAGCGCCGGTTCTTGCAGGATCCTGCAGTGCCAGGGTTGCATTGATCCAAGGCTTGGGTGCAGGATCCTGCGCGATCTTGCAGGATCCTGTAAAGCCCAACTGACCCGGGTTTGGATTGACCCGGGTCTGTAGATCCCCGAACGTACTCCCGTGCCTAACGTGCCAAAAATCACGGTGTAGGCGGCCGCAGCGCGCTTGCCACAGCGGGGAGGGCGGGGAGGAGCAGGAGAAGGGATGACGGATGACATGAGAGTGCGCGTTTGCGCGTGCCATGCAGCAAAGTACGCCCTGATGGGCATGGTGGCCTGCCTTGTTCAGCCCTCGTCATTGCCCACAGGTGGCTTGATCGTATCACTCTAGCATGCCCAGTCCTCTCCCTCCCGCCCCCGCCCCACAACCACTAGAGCTTTGCCTTGCGCCGAGCCGCTCGTGTTAGGTCGGGCGTGTCCCTCTACAGGAGGAAGATTCAAGAATAGTAGAAAAATCGGATGGTGATCAATTTTCTTGCTCTGTTGACTATGTATGCGCATTTTGGTGACAAGTTTGTATATTTCTTCCAAACTCCGCTTCTAGGAGGACATGCCCGACCTAACGCTCGTGGCTGCTGGCGGTACTGCGTCGTTTGGGTGCGCCTGGCAGCACGCCAAAGAAAAAGAGGACGATCGCGCCCGTCCTGTTCCCAAGCGCTCTCTTCCGTCGAAGAAGGAAAGAATGCCATAAACATTAGCTTTTGGCGCTCCGCGCGGGTTTCTTGGATCTGCGCTGGGGCCTTTCCGGCGGCGCCGTCGCGCCAGGGGCGGCGCCGGAGGCGCCGACGGGGGCGCCCCAGCGCAGATCCAAGAAACCCGCGCGGAGCGCCAAAAGTTGATGTTTAAGCACGTTTACTTGCATGGCGTTCGCCCCCCCCGCCTCGCCCCTCTTCAATCGAAGACGAGCGTGTAAGTGCCTTTCGACTTGCGTGACTTCCGCACGTCAAGTCGTTTGCGGCTTGCTTCAGGTTCAGCCCTCCCCCCCGTCCATGCAAGTAAGCTTGCCAGAGCCTTTAAAAAACAGGCTCCAGGGGGAGGGGGAGGGGGAGGGGGAGGGGGGGGAAGAGGAGGAGGAGGAGGAAGAGGAGGAGGAGGAGGAGAAGAAGAAGGAGGAGAAGAAGGAGGAGGACGAGGAGGTGGAAGAGGCCTAGCTCTCTTCCGGAGCGAGGCCGCTCCGCTCTGGCTTCGCAGGGGGCCCATGGGCCCTAGCCTTCCTCGGGCGTTTCCCTGGGAGGGCGCGGCTGGGGCTTGAAGGTGGTGGCGATCCTGGGATAACCGCGCTCGCTCTGCCCAGTGGCTCTTTTGGAACAAAGGGCAGGATTTGTGGTCAAAGACTGGGGATCTGTTCGCAGAGTCAGCGATTGATCATGAGGTCTTCGTTTCACGCCGCCGATGCATTTCTTGAAGATTTGTCACTGGCGCAGCCTTGAGCAACCGCTGAACAAAAATCGGGTTGGGAGGATGGGGTTGGGAGAAATGAGGAGATCAATTTCCGTAGGCGGCCGAAGGCATCGTTCACTGCATCCGGATGCTATTGCTCATACCCTTCTTCCTCCCAACCCCTTCCTCCCAACACGGTTGTTGTTCTCCTTAGATTGTGGCTCGTGGTGGCATGGTTTTAACTGTATATGCTAAACAGGCCGCCAGGTCGAAAGCAATCTGGAAGAGATTGCTCGGTATGATGTCGTATGGTGTTGCGGCGAGGGCGCGGGCCCAAGTACATCATTCGAGACGTGGGAGGAGGAAAAGGACCAGAGTACACCCAGATGCATCAACGATGCTGTAATGCACCAGCCCATCCCAAATCCCCTCATTAGTTTCTACAGATACTCACGTCCACTGCGGGTAGTGCCCCCACTTAACAGTCGAAAGCCGCGTGGGCTTGCCACTCGGGCGAGACCCCGTTTTGTGCAGGACCCACCTTCCATCTTCCGAAGTATAAGAGGTTTGAAGTGCTAGGCTCAACAAAATGAAGGAAGTGTCCAGCGATAGCTCCGTTTTGAAAAGAGGCTGCACTCCATACATGTAGGCGCTGCGCATTTTCAAAGCTCTTGCCATACAACTCTAGGCAGTCTCCAGCAATAACCCATACTCGAAGAAATAAGCCGCCCTCTACCCGCATAACTGCTGCGGAAGGTGGGGCGACAATTTCCGAGGAAATTCGTACGCGGGATCCCCATCTTGAAAACGAAACGCCCCCCCTTATGTGAGGGTATAGCAAGCGTTGAAGACGAACGGGCGCGTCTAAGGTCAGAGCCCCATTTGAAAAACCAAGCGCCTTCCATCCGTGTGACTGCTGCTAGCTTCCAAGAGGACTGCGCGCGTGGCCGGTGCAAGAGCTCCAGTCTGCGGGCGACCTGTGCTCCATCCGGGCAAGTGATCGGGAGTCTCGCCTCGAGGTCGTACGCTGTCAGAAAGTTCTTATGCGAAACGCCCAGCCCGACCGAACGACCCGCCTGGTGGGGCGACAGGGGGGAGTTATCCTTAAGGAGCATGGATGAAGAAGGGCGTGCAGGAGGAGGAGGAGGAGGAGGAGGAGGAGGGCGAGGAGGAGGAGCGAAGAGGGCTCCGAAAAAGTGGGATGAGCGAAGGAAACTGAGAACAGGAGTGAGGGGGAGGAGGAGGAGTGTGAAATTGGAGGAGGAGGAGGAGGAGGATTGATTGGGAGCAGGAGTGAAGAGGAGCATGAGGAGGGTGTGCGGAGGAGAAGGAGGAAAAGGAAGATGAGCTGGGGAGTTCAGAGCTGTGGGAGGTTCTCTCTTGTATTTTGGCTCTCGATGCACTGAATTCGGTCGAGCTTGCCGTCGTCGACGTCATCGTGCCTATGCTCCGGTGACTGGCGCTCGGCTCAGCCCGATGAAACTGCCAGCGATCCCGATCTAGAACACTTGGCGGCTTGGCACTGCCTGCCCCCAGGCTGGGTGGAACCGTCGAGCAGGCGAGGCCCAGCAGGCTTCGTCAGAGCGTCGCTGGGAGGTCGGGGGCTAGTGTTCGATTGCCGCCATCTTCTGGTCTGGCGCTTCAGGCTGCCAGTGCCCACCCTCCTGCCCACCGTGCGGGGAGCGAGGGAGCGAGGGAGGGAGGAGGATGAGGAGGAGGTGGTGGTGGAGGGGGAGGACCAGGTCCAACTTGCTTCGACCGAAGCGACCGGACCGACACCCTCGCCACGACGCCGACGCCAAGGCGGCACGAACCAGCAGCGGAAGCGAACCGCATCCAGCAGGACATTGACGAATTCATTAAATTGATCGCCCCGTGGGCACCTACACCGACTCAGTACGATCGTCCGACACCTAACGACACGCAAAGCAACACCCAGCTAGCCGACCCAATGCGTACCATTTGCATGCGTCATGACGCAATCACCCGTACGGTGGCCAACAGCCATGTGCCAGTTCACCCCACCGCGACGGGGGTGGGCCCACCAAAGGAGGGACACCACAAGGCGCCACCGTCAAACGACCAGCTTTGGAGGTCGGTTCCAGCCAAACGTCCACCGCTACGCCATGACAATGTCAGCACGCCCACCATCAGAGCCCAACTGGCCGGCGACAGGAGGCTCTGCCCAAGAACCAAGCAGTTCAACCCCACACCGGCTGTCTAGCAAGTCGCCCGCAAGCCGGCCCCTAATTCGACTCTGCCTACACGCGAGGGTAACGTCCACGTGCCTTGCAAACTAGCCTCACCAAAGAGGACCACAAGGCCCACGGCCACTGCAGCCTTGCCCACCGTCCACGAGGGGGCCCAGACACTACTCGAGGAGCCACCCAGGGGCATCCGGGTGGGGGCCTCTATGTCTGACGTTCAGCACGACGCAATCGGCAGGCTCGTCAGCACCATCAGCAGCATCCACTGCGACCCGAGCACGCCGTACTACACGACACACGCCCACAATATCATCGAGGACTGCACCAAAAACATCAACATCCCAGAGATGCTCTACGTCCGGGAAGCGGCCCCATATGGAACCGACCGCGTCGAGCACGACCCCCCCGAATAATGGTGAGGGGGGGTGGAACGAGCGGTACCCACAAGACCACCGCCCGGAAAGCGCTAATCTCCCCCACTGCGAGTGTGTAGTCGGGCCTGTCCCTCTACAGGAGGAATATTCAAAATTTGAAAAAATTGTCTGGGGACGATTTGTTGAGCATGTCTTGACTGCTTCGGAGTATTTTTTGACAATGTTTTATTTGTCCTCCAAGATCCGCCTGTAGGAGGACATGCCCGACCTAGTCCCAGTGACCGCCCCCCCCCTGGCAGCCACCAGTGCCGCGCTCGGGTGTGCCTTGCGCCTGCCTCGGCGGGGGAGGGTCCCCGTCGTGGGGCTGCAGTCTGATGGGGGGGCTTCCTATGAGGAGGAGGAGGAGGAGGAGGAGGAGGAGGAGGAGGATTTTTTTCAACATCCACATCCAAGACTGCCACCAGCGAGACTGGACTGTAGAGATTTAAATCGCAATTTAAATCCGCCTCACTCGGTGAGGTCTTGAATACCTTCGGGGTCGACCCTCAGACTCGAACTGTAGCTGGGGTAAAGACCTCGAAGCAACCTGCGCCAAAGACACTTCTTTTGTGTCGACATCTTGCGGTCACACCTCCCAAGGAGGTTGGACTTCTTTAGAGACCCAGGACCGACAAAAGAGGCGCAGTGAGTACATATGTGCAACAACTCTCCGTTGTCACACGGCAGGCCGACTACGAAATGGCCATTCCTCTCCATCTCCCCAAAATCCCAGTCCCCACGTTTGCCAGAGCATCCTCTGGGCGGGGGGCGGAGCTGAGACCGAGAGGCCTTGAGACAAATATTGCAACGCCAGCGGCCAGCCACAAATTCCCAAACGTGCAAAGGGCGGGCCGAGTGCCCGTCTCGGGCCCGCCCCACAGGGGCTTGAAACAACACATCTTTCAAATCG